GTCATTCACATTGAGGGGTTTATCTCTTATCAATTATATGTGTGATTGCAGGTTTGACATATCAAAATCTGCATTTTTTTCATACCTAAAAAATGATGATCATCACAAGTCAGAGGATTTCAAGAAATCTTTATACTCCTACTCCAAGAGGCACTGTGACGAAGACAAGGACCGTGAGTACGACTATTACCGAACAACGAATAAAGCATACTCCAAGTCCGATCACAAACACTTTGACCAAGCTCAACTTTCCGCCAATAATCCAGTTCATCCTTCGAAATAGTTATGTGTCTTTCTCATTCCTTCCATCCCTACCATCCTTTTCAATCTCTCCTTACCTCCTCCCACAGACAATCTTCGCCTTGTCACCTTCGCACTTCAAGAACCGTCTCCATGACTTTGTAGCCCCAACAACTTCTTCGCTGCCTCCCATTCTTGGCATTGCTATAATTGGTATTTTCTCCTCTCGTTCTCCTCAATACGTTTTTTTCGGTCCATACTTCAGTCGATTCAACATGGAGTCAAACTTAAGTTTGTTGGTTCATCACATGTTTCAAGTTCTAAAATTATCTAAGTCCAATTAATTGTCAAAAACGTATATCAAACTTTCCTCTTTAAAAAGGTCCTCGAGCTTGAATCTTTTCCCCCACTTGTCATCCCAAAACATAATACTCCCCCACCATATCCATTTCATCTCCTCCACTGTGACCAAACTCCTTTCCGGCGGGGTCATCGAACCTTTCTTCAACCTTATCGTCATTAACCTATGTTCGCCATGAAAAACTCCTCAAAAACACGCTTCATGTTGGACGTTCGCTTAGTCAATCTCTTTGTTACTTTTTCTGAATTTCGCTATGAACCATTGATAAAATCACTGCAGATCTCTTTAATTTTTTTTATCAGGATTTCCTCACATGTTTTAACATAAAGAACAACTACTACCACATTCTCATCCATCCCGATTTCCGCCCTTACCTCATTTTCCAATGGAATGAACTCGACTACCACTTTACAACCCTCTGTTTTGGTATCTTTTCCGCATGTTGGAGCTTCACAATTGTAATGCAAGAGATTATGACAAAAAATCGTTTGCGTAATGTTTATGTCGTATCTTACATTGATATCTTCGCTCTCGTAAACAAAGTCTTCCCACTCTACGTTGGCAAATATTTAATTATGTTTCCCTGCTTCATGACCTTGGTTTTTTCCTTGACCTACATAAATGTTATTTCCTACCCTCTCAAAGCATCTGTTTCCTTGGTTTTATTTTTTATTCTCATGACAAGCGCATTAACGTCCCTCAGGACAAAGTCTGAAAGATCCTTGCTTTGATAAAAAACACAAACTCTCATAGCTTCAACAGGACCATCACAAAGTTTGCGGGAAAAACTTACATCCCTCTCCAAAACATTTATTTCCACCCACCTCTATCTCTCTTTACTGTACGAAGCAATCTTACCTGCTAATTGTGACTTCACTATCAAGAGATCGAAATGTTCCATCAACAATCTCTTATGGCCGGTTCTTCACTTACCCCATCTCCTTAGCAGATTATGAACGGTTCGCTCTCAGTCGCTCTCTATCTTTACAGACGCTTCAACTTACCAAATCATTGTCGTTATTCATCACATCTCTAGAGCATCCCTCACGTTGAATCAATGTCTTCCTCACACCTGACCCCACTCTTCCTCCACTCATAAAGAGTTGTATGCAATACTAGAAGCTCTCTGCTTCCTTGCCTCCAACCACCCTCAACTAGAACTACTCCTCTCGGCTTCCATCATGCTCCACTCGGACAACCACACTGCTTTAGCGCTACTCTCTTGCATGAAAACCACCGAGCAATCCTTTAACATATGAATTTGTGATATCGCATTTATACTTGTTTCCTTCAACGCACTTCTCAACCCGGTCTGGATTCCACGATCACTCAATAAGATTGTCGATTCCATCTCGAAAACTGAAGACAGTACAGGTTGGGGTCTTACCAACCACCTTAATGTAAACATATTTTATGAAATCGAAGTTTCAGCTACTGACTTTTTCGCCTCACACTACTTTCACGTCTACCTTGCCTTTGTATCCAAGGCCTAGTCAACCAAAGCCTCTCAAATAGATGTTTTTTCTCCCAATCGAAACCTACTTCCTTCTGACCCGTATAAACGAAATTTCCCCCTTGCATCACTCATGCTTTTCATTCTCTCCATGTGCCTATCTAGTGCCAGAGTCCACTCCTCCATCGTAAACCATGTGCTTCTCAGTCTCTCCGCCATCTTCTTTCTCTCTTAGATTGTCGTTCCAGCCCCATTCGTGTCCTCATTTCCAACCCCGTTTTTTTTCGTACTCATACCTCATAAAGGTTCCAACATGACTCCATGTTCCTTGCCTCGTCATGTCTCCCAAACTCCAAACCTTTTCGATCCCCTCCCAAATAAGTTGTATAGGAGCGCTATGTCCACTCTCTCCTTCATATACCCCCGCCTCTGCAAACAACTTCTTTATCCATTTATTAAATTCTTCGCCGCTTAATGATCAATTTTCTCGCATCGGTCGAAAGAGGTAACCACTCCTCAAATCGGTCGAAAGAGGTAACCACTCCTCAAATCGGTCGAAAGAGGTAACCACTCCTCAAGTCCTGCCTGGAGGTGCTTGGTCTCAAGCTAGGTCCATGTACAGCCAGGGGGTCCTGGACCCTCAGGAACAACAAATTTTGACAAGTTTTCGGCCAAAGAACTCGGTTTCAATTTCGTTCAAAAAATAAAAAATGTCCATTTTGAGGAAATGGTCGTTCCTGTACCTAGGACCGCTCACTGTGCTTCTCCTTGACTTCCACTGTGCTACCCCACAGGCACTCTCAGGCACGCGACGAAGTCTACAACTCGCGCCCCGATAAGGCTGGCCCGAATACAGGTCCTTGCTACAGTGGCCGTTATAGAACTTTAAACACCGAGGCGGAGGGGAGTCCCGCGGCATACTCACACCCAACCCTTCCACCGCGGCCTAGCTTCATCCTTAAGGGCCAATCGCCCGTCGGCTCGCATGCCCGTTGGGCCCCCTTGGTCCGAACTTCAAAAAGGGGGGGGGGGGGGGGGGGGGGATAAACTCGACACTCTTGGAAGGACTCTCACTACTCAGGCCTTTCTCCGCCTCATGGGTCAGTTGCCCACAGGCTCGCATGCACATTGGCCTCCTCGGCTCGCCCTTTCAAGTCGGGCGGTGTAGGGGAATTTCATCAGCATCCCGAATACGCACGACCCCGTAGGTCAACCAAAGGAGGCACGTGCTCAAAGTCCTCGACCGCCTTGACGGCCTCTAAGTCCAGCGTTGCGTCCAAGTCGGCTGACAAATAACTAATAAACATGTTTAAAGCTTTTAATCGCCCCACCAACGACAAACCAAGGAAAATAGCCCCATTGGGCCCTCAACCCCTTCATTCTTTTGCACCACCCTGATATCTCTGCGCCGTCGCCGCTCGACCTCGATCCCTGAATCTCCCTGATGAAAGTCCGACGCCATAACTAATAGTGCTAGGCTCAAGTCTGGGTCTAGCTTTGATAAACGCCTAAATAAACAGACACCGCTCGGCGCGTGGGTCTACTGAAAACACTTCAAGGCCCCTTTGTTGTCGATGTCGTTCTCCGAGCATACGCATGGGTCACAGGCAAGCACATCCATCACCGAGACATAATCTTTTTGATCCTAGTTTAATCAGAAACAAACAATTTTGTTGGTGATCACGCCGGTTCTTCTATCATCAATAAATAAAACCACGAGCGCCTCAAGTATGCGCGCCCACACACTCTCTACCCTAGTTAGTCATCCATTCAATGTAAAACACTGGCACTACCGCGTCTCGCGCGGTATGCTTTAACTTTAAACTAAGCTTATTTTCCGTCGCTTGCAAAAACCAGGGCGGATACCCTTGCAAGGGTATTCGCACCGACACCGGTCACGCGTAAGCAGGATGGACCAGATTCCCTCATGCAACAATCCTCGGCCTCCATCAACAAAGGTAACAAGATTAGCGGTTGGGACTCAATACCACAACAATTTCATTTGGGACTTTAACCACAGGCATTTTAGTCATAGGTGTCTGCCCACCCACGATAGCTTGAGCGCTCTCCCGACCTGCGCCCTCCAAGCCTCGATTGCTCGCAACATTCATTGCGAACGCGAACCTGCGTGCATGCCACACAAGGGTCAGGTGTTTTCAGAGGTAGATTCCTTTTCCTCGCCTTGATTTAGTGAAGTGGTCCCGCCCGCCCTCGATTTTCCCACGGTGTGCGGGCCTGCGACCCACTTCTATGACTCACTTCTGTGCGATCTGACATCGTCTACGGAGTTTCTTTTTCCTTATTTATCTGGAGCAGACCTGTGTATGACGGTATAAGGGGCTCGTTAGACACTCCTCGGGCGCTCAAAAATCCCGAGGAATTGATCGTTCCATCTGTCCTCGGAGAGTGTTCCCTCGAAATCGATGTGAAAACATTTCCTCGGGGCGTCGTCGGGGCGTCCTCGGGCTACAGGCATTTGGCTATATTCCCCAAGGTACCTCACGAGGTCCCTCGGAGTGGGAGTTTCCGAGAAAATCGGGACAGCGGCGACGCTCTTCGACGACGTCAGAATTTTGTAGTCTGGTACATTGCTGGTCCAGTCGAGGTGCGGGCGGACATTAGTGGCTGGCAACGTTCGACTCCGGCGGGAAGGACCGCAACGGTAAGGTTCGGTGGCGGACGGGGTCCCAGGCCGTTTTCGGTTTATCCCAGCCCCTCACCAGCGCCAGCGGGAAACGGGAAGCCTCCAACGGCCAACCGTTTCGAAAATGACAGCAGCGTACGTCCGTCACCGCGCGCAGTGGTCCACAATGTAAAGCGGCAGAGGGCGTCGCCAGTCGTGGCCATGCACGCCTGCTGTTTGCCGCCGTCTGGGTAGATGTTACGTTGTCGTGCGTTGTCGTCGTTAGTTGCCCTTGCGAGAACGGTTGTGTTACATGGTCGACGTGCTCCACAAGCTGCCGTTGGTCCTCCTCGTCGTGATTCTGCTTTTCGTTGTCATCTTTGTTCAGGTGTGCATATTGGGGAGGTTGCCTTCACGTACTCGCAGGAAACGACGGGTGAGGAAGAGCGTGGCCATGGACGGGCGGTGGCCGAATCTTGCCACGTTGTCGGACACTTATCCCAGCCACCGACCTGCGATCTGCACCGGTGTAGACAGAAGGGCGGCAGGTCCGTCGCCGTACAAAGGACTCCCGCCTCACATGCAGCCTCTGCCTGATTCGAACGAGGGGGAGGCGGACGTGGACGTGTGCAACACAGTTCCGTTGGGTAGCAGGTCGACCCAGGAATGGACAGGTAGCCAGTTGTATGATCGGCGCGGAGCGAAGTACAGGCAGTCATTCACTTCCCTCCTCCACGAAGGTGCCCAGGACGAGGAACGCCTCCCCCCTGTGGATCTCACATTTGGCCTGCGGAGAGGGAACCCATCTTCTGCCACGCACACTGTGCTCGTGAACCCTCATCCCAACGATGACGCGGGGCAGGTGGCATTGGTCGGCAGGGGCACAAGGGGTGGTTCTGCGCCTCAGGAGACGTCCGAGAAGACGAGGGAGCGGCCTCGAGTGCAGGCGACTTGTGGCCCGTCAATTCCACGCACCACCGGTGGTCGCCATGAGTGGATGAACCCCCCTCCTGCGTTCTCCAGGGGCCGCGACACCGTTCCTCGTCCAGTTGAACGGGGTGTGAGTGAGGAAGACTTCCCTTTCGAGGGCGCGCATGGAGATGGCAGGTGGGCTTGGAAGGAGTCGAGGCAGGAGTTGTGGCGGCAGCAAGAAGAGTCCATACCGCAAGGTGTGCAGCGATTACGCGTGGGCGAGCAGGCCGGGCAAGCAGACGTGGTTGGCGGGGGGGGTGACGTATGGACAAACGGTGACGAAGTTCAGTGCGACGTTGAGGAGGACGACAGCGGTGACGTGTTCCCATTGTGTGCGCCAAACATGGGTGACAGGGGCGGCAGAGGCAGGGCTTCGACGAATGCTGGGCGGAGGCGGAAGAGGTCGTCGGCGACCTCTGCTGATGCGGAAGGTGAGGGGGATGGGGAGGGTGGCCGAAATTTCTGGTCTGTGGATCACATGGTGGCCCTCATAAGGGCGAAGCGGGATCAAGACGCCTAGCTGCAAGCGGTGGGGCACGCATTCGCACGGATGCGGTCGAGGGAGTGGAAATGGTTGGACGTCCGGGAGAGGTTGCTGAAGGTCGGTGTTGACAGGCCGGCAGACAAATGCGGGAAGAAATGGGATAATCTCATGCATCAGTTCAAAAAGATCCACACTTTCATAGGCATGTTGGGGACGGAGGACTTCTTCCAGTTGACGAGTCAGCAGAGGGCAGAGAAAGGATACAACTTCAACATGGATCGGGCCGTCTACGAGGGGATCAAAGGGGCGAAGGAGAGGAGCCACACTATCAGCCCGAGCAATGTTGCAGACACCGGTGGCGCAGGAGGTGTGCAACTCCCATCTGCACAGTCGGCGACTCCGGAATCTGTGGGGGACGGGGATGCCGCTGGAGATGGCAACGACGAAGACGACAGCTCAACGCGTGGGGGCTCACAGACGACTGGAAGTCCGGCCGGTTTCGGGAAGAGGAAAAACGTGCGGCAGCAGAGGCCTTAAGCGAGTGCATGGAGAAGCATGGGGCATTGATGGCGTCAACAATGGAAAGCGCGAGCAGGAGGCAATGCGAGGCGATGGAGAGCGCGAGCAAGAGGCAGTGCTCCATTCAAATTCGGCAGTGTGAGGCTATCGAAGCGGAGGTGGAGGTCCAGAAGCAACACTGGGCTGCGTCTAATGAAGTTAGCAAGCTTATGCCAGTGTATCATGCGCTGCTGGAAATAGCGAAGGCTATACGAGAGCGGTAGACGGGAACGTCTGCCACAGGGCATTTTTCGGCTATGGATGTCACTCTGTTGCCACGCACGTGTCATTTACTTAAGTCGGATGGAGTTCATTCGCACTCCTAGTTCATTTCGTGCCATGGGCTTGTTTTCGGTTTGTGTTTGTAGAGGAGGGGCAGATTGTCTGTCGTGCGCGTACTTCTGTCAGTCTGTCCGTCTTCTCCGTGAATTTATTTCATTGTACATTGTGGAGCGCGGAGTGCCCTTATTTTTTTACTTATTTGTTTATCGCTTCGGCCGTAGTTGTAGTGTGCTCGTAATCGGGAGGTGGTCGGATGATCCGACCACACTGCGRTGATGAACGTGGCGGGTAGAGGTTCGTGGACGACCGTTTGATTCRTTTCTTYAGTTTGCAAAGTGGATACATCGAGAGTTYRAACTTTCTGTCTTCCSGGATTTGCATGTCCATCGTGACAGCGAGACGGCGAGAGAGAGAGAGAATTGGAAATTTGTTATTGTTGGCTCCTAWTGCTGAATTTGGCTTCCAGTTTCTGTCACCGACGATGCACTTGTACAATGTATGTGTTCCCTTGTCCTCTGTGTATTGGTTTGTGTGTGTGTGTGTGTGTGTGTGTGTGTGTGTGTGTGTGTGTGTGTGTGTGTGTGTGTGTGTGTGTGTGTGTG